ATTATGAAGTCAGGCGGTATTTTAGTAGTGTCCTTCATGTTTCAGCTGTCAGTGGGGTTCCCCGTTGACAGTTGAATGTAAAAAGTATTGCCAGCATTGACCGACAATTAAAATGTTTTTTTTTTTTTAAACAGCATGGGGTCCCCCCTCCCATCCATACCAAGCCCTTCGGGTCTGGTATGGATTTTGCGGGGAACCCCAATGCCAAAATTTAAAAAAAAATGGCGTGGGGGTCCCCCCAAAATCCATACCAGAACCTTATCCGAGCATGCAGCCCGGTAGGTCAGGAAAGGGGGGAGAAGAGCAAGCCCCCCCAAACCATACCAGGCCACATGCCCTCATCATGGGGGGGATTCCTTTGGGGCAAAACACCTTGTCTCTATGTTGATGGGGACAAGGGCCTCTTCCCCACAGCCGTGACCAGTGGTTGTGGGGGTCTGTGAGCGGGGGGCTTATTGAAATCTGGAAGCCCCCTTTAACAAGGGGACCCCCAGATCCAGCCCCCCCATGTGAATGAGAACCGCTATCCATTCACCCAAAACAAAAGTGTAGTGTAAAAAAGACAGGAGACAATCTTTGACAATCTTTGACAAGTCCTTTATTAAAAATGAAAAAAAAAATGTCCCCATGGGTGGTCTTAGTACTTAGGCGGTTCCGGGGCCCCTCGTGGTCGGTGTGCCCTTGTCTCTGCGGAAAGATGGACATGTGACTGACCCCACTTGACTATCTTAACGGAAATATTACTGTGCCACCACATTTGGAATCCTTTCCTAGGTTTTTGCTTTATTATATGACCCCCTTTCACACATTATACCAGTTTGTTGCTAGTCTTTCTTGCATGTGTCCTTTTTGGACCAGAATTGGTGATGTTATCGTAGTCCTATCAGTGGGGAGGCAGCTTTGGGGAGCGTGGCGCTTGCCCCTTTGGTCTGTTGGGATCCCCTCTTTGACTGGCCCCGCATGGGCAGGCCGGATGCCCCCCCTTCCCCTTCATAGTCCTCGTACAGATGTCTGTAGTTTACCAAATCATTTCATAACTCCTGAAGAAGCGATATTATTGCGAAACATGTCGCGTTATTACATCTACTAATACCGGAGTATCTTTTTTCAAATCTTTACCGAGACACGGTACATCTTCATTGTGGAACATATTAATACTACATGCATTTGTACTGAATATACGCTGCAGGAATATATTCTCGACACCGGATTTTACTAATCGTACGTATTATTGTACGTCTGTGCATGTTCAATTGGTTCAGTGGTTCAATAAACCATTGTTGTAGAGCCTATAGAGTCCACCAAGAGGTCTCTCTCCTTTTTCCAAACTATGCTGTGATTGGCCAAAGCATTGCACCTAACCTATATGGTCAGGTACATTGCTTTGACCAATCAGAATGCACTGTCAGGGCCAGGGGCGGACTGACCGTTTGGAAACTCGGGCACTGCCCGAGGGCCCAGGGTCAGTAGGGGGGCCCATGAGATGCCCCTGTACCTTTTTCATAGGCTTTTTTGAGTTTGGGCAAGGCCACAGGGGCCCCATGATCCCCTATTGCCTGAGGGCCCCATGAGTTGTCAGTCCGCCCCTGGTAAGGGCACGGAACATTGTGTGGCGCGGCGGGCACACAAATGCCCGTACCGTTCGTGTGTTCAGCGAACACATGAACGGCACATGTTCCAGTCGAACTTAGGTTCGACTCGAACATGTAGCCCATCACTAATCAAGAGGGCACAGTACAGGGTTCTGGGAAGCTGCCTGTGCCATCCCGGGACAGCTTAGTAAAAAGCGTGACTGTCCCGGAAAATCTGGGACAGTTGGCAAGCATGATGTCATGCAAGATTATCATGGGGGCCCCTATGCACCTGAGGCCCCCGAGCATTGCCCAGGGGTACCCATGCATTAAGACAGCCCCGCTTGTAAATTTTATATGCGAGTTACTACTGCTATAAAACATACTTCAAATTGTTCTGTATATATAGGAGGGTGTGGTCTATTCACATAGCGATACAGATTTATCATCATTTGATGGAAGATGCCCTGATGACCCCCGCCGACACGAACCAATGGTCTGCTCCGGCCAGACTCCCATCACAACTGACAGTTCCCAGGCACAACAGCACCGCTGAACCTGGGCGATGCCATTAACCAAATATGGTCATGACTATATTTGGTCCATGACTTCACCCAGGATCCCCCATAAGAAGGCTGGGGAACAGTCATTTAGCGGAAAGAGGAGGAGCCTCTTAAAGAAGAAGGTACAGGTCTGTGAGAGACAGAAATCTTGCTTGTTTGTAGGTGACCAAATACTTATTTTCCACCATAATTTGCAAATAAATTCTTTCCAGATCAGCCAATGTGATTGTCTGGATTTGTTTTCTCATTTTGTTTCTCATAGTTGAGGTCTCCCTATGATGCCAATTACAGGCCTCTCTCATCTTTGTAAGTGGGAGAACTTGTACAATTGGTGGGGACTAAATACTTTTTTGCCCCACTGTATGGGAAATCCTTGAGAACTTTTGGGACTTTTTGTTGGACGTTTTGTGTGTTTGGAATTTGAACTTTATGTTGGCTGTTACTGAATATAACTAAGATCTGTATCACTGGTTGTAAAATTACTTTTAAATGTTTTTTTTCACTGGCCGGTAGTTCAGCTTTAACCATTAGCCGCCCGGCCAATGGCCGTTTGGCGGCTTCAGATGTGCTCCTCCATTCTGGGTGCACGCCATTTGGCGTGCTCCCGCACATGCGCCGTTTGCGCTAGTGCAGAGCGGCGCAGCAGTGCGATCTGTCAGCGGCCGTACACCTCGGATACGGCCGATGACAGATCCGAGTACCGACTCCCGTTGCTGGTACCATGTGACCTGCTGTGACCAATCACAGCAGGTCACATGACAGTTGTATACATGGATGGCTTCATTCATGATGCCATCCATTGTATACTAGTGCCTAGCTGTGAATGGTCACAGCTAATCACATGCACATGTCATGAGATTAGCTGTGACCAAATCACAGCTAAGCACAAAAAAAAAAAAAAAAAAGCTGAATGAATCGATTTCATTCAGGTAAATGCTTGCTTATAGCAAAGTAATTCTTTGCTATAAGCAAATTGTGTAAAAAAAAAAAATACTGATCACTTCCCCAAAGTAGTACAATGTTACTATGGTAAAATTGTACTATTTTGGTCATAGTAAAATATGAAAAAAAATCTTAAAAAAAATTTAAAAAAATGTAATAAAAAATTAAATATAATAAAAAAAAAAAAAATATATATATATATGTTTTTCATACTGTCACCAGTCAGTGTCCCTGTTCACCGCCATGCCAGTTATATGATGACGCTGTACTGCACTGGTGACAGGATGTAAAAAAAAAATAGTGAAAATAATTTTTTTCATTTTTTTATTTTCGGAAAAATTATGACAAAAAAATACGACTTCAAAAAACTCGCCATTCCTCTTATGAAGTACGTCGGACTGTCTACTCTGCAAAAAGGGGTCATTTGGGGGATATCTGTACTATTCTGACATTCTTGGACCTCAAGAAATTAGATTGTCTGTCAGTACTTCAGGATTGATCAATATTCAGATCTATACCATAGATTGTGAACTCTATAACTTTCCTACAAACTAAATAATACATCCTAATTTGGGTTATTTTCACCAAAGACATGGAGCAGAATACATCTCGGCCTAAATTTATGAAGAACAATTATTTATTTGTAAACTTTTATAACAGAAACAAAGAAAAATGTGTTTTTTTTTCAAAATTTTTGGTCTTTTTTTGTTAATTTAGCAAAAAATAAAAACCCCGGCGGTGATTAAATACCACCAAAAGAAAGCTCTAGTTGTGTGAAGAAAACGATAAAATTTTAGTTTGGGTACAGTGTTGTATGACCGCGCAATTGTCATTCAAAGTGTGAGAGCGCTGAGACCTGAAAACTGGCCTGGGCAGGAAGGTGTAAAATTGCCCGGTATTGAATTGGTTAAGCTTCAATGTCACCCTGTCCATTATCCATCATAATATTTTGAAAGCCGCCAAAAGAATTTTGATTTGTCGGCATAAATTTTGTGAAATCTGTACAATAAGTGCAGCCTGAAATTGTTGTATTAATGAGTCAATGTCTTGGACTCCGGCTCTCCGACACCAATTAAATCAATGTGATTTTAATGACTTCCGGGACCGCGCTCTGAGCTCTGCTGTCTGACCTCTGGCACTTGGCGGCGAAGCCCCATAGACTATAAGAAAATACGTCTGGCAAGGGAAGAAGAAACTACTTAACATACAGGAAATCCTGACCGGCGCGGCCGGCTTTGTACGTACAACGATGGAGGAAATAGATATCTCGGAACTGTGAAAGTCCTGATCTTCGGGGAGCTAAATGGTGTTTGATGTTAACCAAACAAAACCTTTCTCTGCAAGATATGGATGGTGATAAGATATGAAGAAAGTAACATTAGACGCGTCAAATTGAATTCCTCGTGAGAAGATAAATGACAGAAACGGTATTATACCATACAGTATGAGTCAAATGGTTCACATGTACAGCTGAGACCCACAAGGAAAAATCAAACATATCACATATTTTGCTCTTCATGTGATATACGTAGAATCTGGATTTGATATTTGATATTTTAGGCGGAACTCCATCCATCCTAATCCTTATATTCCATTAAAAAAAAACTAGGAAAGTATTACAATGTACAGTATACCTGAATTTAACATAAAGGTCAGTTAAAGCCCATGCCTGGGCAAATCACCCACCACCCCGTCTTCTTTGCTTCTACCCACACCCCTTTCAAAAACATTTTCTACACACCTGAGTCCACCTCAATGTGACCCACTGCAGTGCCACTTTCAGGAAAGAAGAACTAGTGTTGCCGTAGCTTCTTGAAATAAGATAACCATTCTCAACCTTTCTTTACCCCGGAGTGACTCTTGAAAAAAAGATTTTCAGATTTCATAGAAACCCTGATAAAGCCAGTTTATTGTGAGTCGTTTAGAAGAATGTTCATTACAATGGTGGTCAGTGGGAAGAATGTCCCTTACATTGGTGGTCAGTGGGAAGAATGTCCCTTACATTGGTGGTCAGTGGGAAGAATGTCCCTTACATTGGTGGTCAGCGGGAAGAATGTCCCTTACATTGGTAGTCAGTGGGAAGAATGTCCCTTACATTGGTGGTCAGTGGGAAGAATGTCCCTTACATTGGTGATCAGTGGGAAGAATGTCCCTTACATTGGTGGTCAGTGGGAAGAATGTCCCTTACATTGGAGGTCAATGGGAAGAATGTCCCTTACATTGGTGGTCAGTGGGAAGAATGTCCCTTACATTGGTGGTCAGTGGGAAGAATGTCCCTTACATTGGTGGTCAGTGGGAAGAATGTCCCTTACATTGGTGGTCAGTAGGAAGAATGTCCCTTACATTGGTGGTCAGTGGGAAGAATGTCCCTTACATTGGTGGTCAGTGGGAAAAATGCTCCTTAGATTGGGGGACAGTGGGAAGAATGTCCCTTACATTGGAGGTCAGTGGGAAAAATGCTCCTTAGATTGGGGGTCAATGTAAATAACGCCCTTTATTTTGGTGGTCAGGGGGAGAAGAATGTTCCTTACATTGGTTATCAATTTTACGAATGTCCGTTACATTGGTCGTCAGTGGGAAGAACAATCTTTAAGTTGGTGGTCATTGGGAAGAATGTCCCTTACATTGGTGGTCAGTGGGAAGAATTAGAAGTAGAGTGGAGTCGATTGCTGTATCTAAGCAGGGTGAAAAAAGGTGATTTGAGTTCCTCTTGAGGGGCTATAGGATCCATTATATCGTATGAGGCTTATTACTCACCTCCATCTGGTGAGTGCGGTCAATATTATTTTTCACGTGGTGATTAGGTGGAAGCACATTTTGGAACATTGTCTTGAAAATCCTTTTGGGAAAATAAGGACTTATGTTTGAAATATATATATATATATATATATATATATATATATTTTTTTTTTTTTTTTTTTTTTTTGCACGGACATTTATTTATTTGTGATTATTTTTATTTATTTAATTTTTGCGCTGTTTTTTTTTGTGTTATTTATTATTAGTAGGAAGAATGTCCCTTACATAGGTGATTGGGAAGAATGTCCCTTACATTGGTGGTCAGTGGGAAGAATGTCCCTTACATTGGGGGTCAGTGGGAAGAATGTCCCTTAAATTGGTGGTCAGTGGGAAGAATGTTCCTTACATTGGGGTTCAGTGGGAAGAATGTCCCTTACATTGGTGGTCAGTGGGAAGAATGCCCCTTACATTGGTGATCAGTGGGAAGAATGTCCCTTACATTGGTGGTCAGTGGGAAGAATGCCCCTTACATTGGTGATCAGTGGGAAGAATGCTCCATACATTGGTGGTCAGTGGGAAGAATGTCCCTTACATTGGTGGTCAGTAGGAAGGATGTCCCTTACATTGGTGATCAGTGGGAAGAATGTCCCTTACATTGGGGGTCAGTGGGAAGAATGTCCTTTACATTGGTAGTCAGTGAGAAGAATGCTCCTTACATTCGTGGTCAGTGGGAAGAAGGCCCCTGCATTGGTGGTCAGTGACAAGAATGCTCCTTACTGTACATTGGGGGTCAATAGGAAGAATGCTCTGTAAATTGGTAGTCAGTGAAAAGAAGGCCCCCTTACTATTGTGAGTAGAATGTTCCCTTTACAGACATATTAAAAGATCATTGGATTGGTTGCTGTCAACTGGAGTTGGATCCCTAACTATGAACACACAATCAGATGGGAATTCAACCAGCCACAGCTCACGGAACCCCTAGAAAACTCTAGAGGAACCCTAGGGCTTCACAGAACTGTGCTTGAAAATGGATGCCATAAGGTTACCACACACCACCGCTGAAGTCTTCAGGACATGTGTAGACCTCGCTGATGGAGAGCCAATGGGATGTGTTCAGGTCATCAAGCATCAGAATGGATACACAAACCTGGACCCTCCCTCTTTGCATTACAAAGGAAAGGTGTGGATTTGGTCCATTTAGTGTAGTGTTAATTTAATTGCTGCAGTAATTAGTTACAAGGAAATGAGTGTTGGGGGGGTGAACCTTAATTTTATTGCATGCATTAAGAGTAATAAACAAGCTGAAATGTGTAATTTTCCTGGAGAACATGCTGCTGCAGTCTCTTCTTGCTGCTGCTTACATCTGAAAATACATAGACCCGGGGTATTGAGTTAATATTCATGGGGTCCAATCAGTCAACTTTTCTTCCAGCAGAGGTCCAAATGTTTGTGTGATGTCTCAGATCCTTCTCATCACAGACCCTCTCATTTATTGTATGTCACAATTAGAGATGAGCGAATTTCTCAAAAATTCGATTCGGCTGATTCGGCGAATTCCAGTATGAAATTCGATTCGATGCGAATTAATTCGCTACGAAGTTAACTTATTAAAAGGGTTTCTAGGCTTCAGAGAGCCTTTGAATTAGTGCAGAACACTGTACCTTTAATTTAAATGCCCTTGGAGATGAGGAAGGAGAAGGAGAAGGAGAAGGATGAGAAGAAGGAGAAGGAGAAGGATGAGAAGAAGGAGAAGGAGAAGGATGAGAAGAAGGAGAAGGAGAAGGATGAGAAGAAGGAGAAGGATGAGAAGAAGGAGAAGGAGAAGGAGAAGGAGAAGGATGAGAAGAAGGAGAAGGAGAAGGATGAGAAGATGGAGAAGGAGAAGGATGAGAAGAAGGAGAAGGATGAGAAGAAGGAAAAGGATGAGAAGAAGGAGAAGGAGAATGAGAGAAGAAGGAGAAGGATGAGAAGAAGGAGAAGGAGAAGGATGAGAAGAAGGAGAAGGATGAGAAGAAGGAGAAGGATGAGAAGAAGGATGAGAAGAAAGAGAAGGATGAGAAGAAGGATGAGAAGAAGGAGAAGGATGAGAAGAAGGAGAAGGAGAAGGATGAGAAGAAGGAGAAGGATGAGAAGAAGGAGAAGGATGAGAAGAAGGAGAAGGATGAGAAGAAGGAGAAGGAGAAGGAGAAGGAGAAGGAGAAGGATGAGAAGAAGGAGAAGGATGAGAAGAAGGAGAAGGAGAAGGATGAGAAGAAGGAGAAGGATGAGAAGAAGAAGAAGGAGAAGGATGAGAAGAAAGAGAAGGAGAAGAGAGAAGGAGAAGGAGAAGGATGAGAAGAAGGAGAAGGATGAGAAGATGGAGAAGGAGAAGGATGAGAAGAAGGAGAAGGATGAGAAGAAGGAGAGAGAAGGATGAGAAGAAGGATGAGAAGAAGGAGAAGGATGAGAAGAAGGACAGTTCTGTGACAGTTTCTGTCTATTTCTGACAGTTCTGGGACATTCACTCCATACAGCGGTTGAAACATTGTATCTATTTGTTTCCATAAATGACATTCTGCAGATACACTTAGAGGAGCGCTGCAGATACACTTTTTGCCGGCTTGGAATTATTCTTATTTTCATCCTACTTCTTCTTCTTCTTCTTCATCCTCATCCTCATCCTCTTCTTCTTCTTCTGAGGATGAGGATAAGGATGAAGAAGAAGAAGTAGGATGAAAATAAGATTAATTCCAAGCCGGCAAAAAGTGTATGTGCAGAGTTCCTCTATTTCTGACAGTTCTCTGACAGCTTCTTCACATGTACAGCGGTTGAAACATCTGTATCCTAAATGGAAACTAATAGATACAATGTTTCAACCGCTAAACATGTGTTCCTTCTGTCAGAGAACTGTCAGAAATAGCGGAGCTCACTGCAGGGACACTTTTGCCGGCTGATCGGGAAATATTCGATTCGCGCACCCGAAGTAGGCAAAATTTCGGATTCGACGCGAATCGAATATTTCCTGAAATTCGACTCGAATTCCGGTTCGCCTGGTTCGATTCGCTCATCTCTAGTCACAATCCTACTCTTCCATCAGTATCCTCCATCCCCCACACATCAGTCACCCACTTCACATCACTTTCTTCTTCACATTGCTTCCCCCTTCACATCAACCCCCCACTCACAGCACTGCCCCACATTTGCATCACCCCTTCCCACAGCGCTGCCCGCCTTCAGATCTCCCTCCACAGCATTGCTCCCCTTTACATCACTCCCCCAGCACTGCGCCCCTTTACATCTCACCCCGCCCCACCCCCCCCCCCCCCCCCCCCACAGCACTGTTCCCCATTAAATCATATCCCCTCCACAGCACTGCCCGCCTTCAGATCTCCCTCCACAGCACTGCTCCCCTTTATATCTCTCCCCCAGCACTGCGCCCCTTTACACCTCCACCCCCCCCCAACAGCACTGCTCCCCTTTACATCTCTCCCCCAGCACTGTGCCCCTTTACACCTCCACCCCCCCACAGCACTGCTCCCCTTTAAATCATATCCCCCCCACAGCACTGCCCCTTTCAGATCTCCCTCCACAGCACTGCTCCCCTTTACATACATCTCTCCCCCAGCACTACCTCCCTTTACATCTCCACCCCCCCCCCACAGCACTGCTCCCCTTTAAATCATATCCCCCCTACAGCACTCCCCACCTTCAGATCTCCCTCCACAGCACTGCTCCCCTTTACATCTCTCCCCCAGCACTACCTCCCTTTACATCTCCACCCCCCCCCACAGCACTGCTCCCCTTTAAATCATATCCCCCCTACAGCACTCCCCACTTTCAGATCTCCCTCCACAGCACTGCTCCCCTTTACATCTCTCCCCCAGCACTACCTCCCTTTACATCTCCACCCCCCCCCCTCCACAGCACTGCTCCCCTTTACATCTCTCCCCCAGCACCGCGCCTCTTTACATCTCCACCCCCCCCCCCCCCACAGCACTGCTCTCCTTTAAATCATATCCCCCCCCCAACAGCACTGCCCCCTTCAGATCTCCTTCCACAGCACTGCCCCCTTCACATTCCCCCACATCACTTCTCCCCCTTTGCATTTTGCAAAATGCCACGGCATCCGACGCTTTGCATTGCACTTGGTGATGGAAGGCTTGGATGCAGCTGCTCGGTCATGGAAACCCATTCCATGAAGCTCTCTACACACTGTTGTTGGGCTCATCTGAAGGCCACACCAAGTTTGGGGGTCTTTTGCTTGGGGGTCTCTGCAGACAGTTGGCGACTTCTGCGCATTGTGCGCTTCAGCATGCGCTAACCCCGCCCTGTCATGTGACGTGGCCTACCACTTGGTGGCTGAGTGGCTGTTGTTCCCAGTTGCTTCCACTTTGTTATAATCCCACTAACAGGTGAGCGTGGAATATTTAGTAGCAAGTATACAGTATATATGTATATGCCTTCACCCCATAAAGCTTTTGGTGCTGATATGTCATTTCATTTCAGTAAATTCACCTTATATATAATAAGTTTTGATTTTTTTTTTTTTTCTTGATTTATCATATGACATTGATTTGCCTGATAACTTGCATTCCAAATCATGAGGGCATATTTTGTAGTAAAAGCTTATATTGTTTTTTGGCTTTTTTAGCCACTCAAGTGGTTTTTGCGGTCTACACTACAGTGATCCATGTGTGAGAAATTCACTTTGGGGGCTGGTCTCTACCACCCCCCCTCTTGAGCTTTCTTTCCATCTAGCCTTGGTGCATTGAGGTGTCGTTGGTGAGCACATCAAGAGAAGATCATTCTCTGTTTTTGTACAATTGTGGCGAACTAAATTATAAATGAAAATTGGATGGTATGTAGGACGTACATATTTATACATTATATATACATTATTAATAATATATACATTTTCTGACTATATATTATTATTGATGTTTTTTGCTAATTCTTACTCATGTCCACTATATTCTGTAGAATGTTTCTTGGCCATCCTTCCTCTTCAGCATACCCCTGAAGAAAGATTTGTGCTCTGAAACGCGTCGGGTCTTTTTAGCTGATGTTCACTCACCCTTCGCCTTCTTCTGGCTCACAGGAGAGGGTGAATACCAATTTTCAGGCTACAGCAAGTTTACAGGCAATTTTGCCATTTCTTCTCAAGTATGATTTTAACATGTGATGTGTTAAATTATGATGTTTCACAATGATTTTGTAATAAAATTATTTACACGTTGACATTATTTGTTTTGAGTTGCCTTAAAAGTCCCAGTACTGTCGGGAACATACATTGTAGTAGCCAGGAAATGTCACGGATGGATTTATTGCACTTGTGACCACCTATCACGGGACCACGATTGGAACCACTGAGCTCCTGAGAGCGACCCATTCTTTCACCAATGTTTGTAGAAGCTGTCTGCATGCCAAAACATGGCAACCGTCCCAACCTATAGTCAGCCTTAGCAGTAAGGTGTACATGGAGGGGTAATACACAACCAGGGGTAGACTGACCATTTGGAAACATGGGCACTGCCCGAGGGCCCGGGGTCAGTAGGGGGCCCCATGAGATGCCCCTGGTACCTTTTTTCATAGGCTTTTTTGAGTTTGGGCAAGGACACAGGGGCCCCATGATCCCCTATTGCCAGGGGGCACCATGATTTGTCAGTCCACCCCTGTACACAAAGCAGAACAAACAAAAGTTTTCCCAGCAACACTTACTGGCCAGCTTGCACAACAACCAATGTGGGCCTGTCTAAGAGTTTGTGTTAAAAACAGAGGGATTTGTTTGCACACATTTGCAAATACATGCGTACGCCACAGTCCCACGTCAAGGGTCCTCTGTATGCTTTGGACCTAATTAAAATTTCCAAAGCCTATATAGTAGGAGCTCATGTATCAATGGATAGGTTAAGGGTAGGTGTGCCTGGAGGAGCGCATCCTTAAAGGTACAGGGACGCATGTGATGCCCATCTGGCCCCAAATGACAGCAAAGGCACGGTACCACGCAGGGGCGGACAGACAATTCATGGGGCCCCCCCGGGCAATAGGGGATCATGGGGCCCCTGTGTCCTTGCCCAAACTCAAAAAAATCCTATGAAAAAGGTATCAGGGGCATCTCATGGGGCCCCCTACTGACCCCGGGCCCTCGGGCAGTGCCCGAGTTTCCAAATGGTCAGTCCACCCCTGGTACCGCACTTGGAGTCACTGAGCTCCTGAGAGTGACCCATTCTTTCACCAATGTTTGTAGAAGCAGTCTGCATGCCTAGGGGCTTGATTTTATACACCTGAGGCCATGGAGGGGATTGGAACACCTGAATCACATGATTGGGAGGGCGGAGACAATACTTTTGGAAATCTAGTGTATATGTGCTGGGACAGCCTAAAGCCCACTGCCATGCCACCACATATATGCCTACAGTCTATGGCAACAGGTTAAACTCATGATTTATAAAAAATAATTCATGAGTTTAAATTGTGATTAGCAGTACAACTATAAGTGCAAAGATTGAACACTACGGCATGCTAATGTTCACTGTCATGGCTGTTGTCTATTCTTTGTAAGAACGAGACTTGATTGGGAAAAAGGGTTGCTGACCCCGGAACCAGAGAGTTCCCAGTAAATCACCGAGGTTTTTGTTGTTGTCTGATTTTTTAAAAGCAGCTCCAAAGGCTTGGGTTTAAATAAAGTCCTGTGGGGCTCGGCTGGGCGTGTAATTCCGATTTTACTGGCTGCGTAATACTCGGTCTATGTACAGAAGGGGCCTGTAATACAGCTCCACCAGCCGGATCTCCATATTTCTCCCTGACACTAGATTAACGCAATGAGAACACGGGTATAATTCACCGCCGTTATAGGACATGCCGGGCCCACTTTTCAAACAAATTCTATCTCGTCAAAAGGTAATCTGGGTTTTTTTTTGTGAATTGTAACCTATCCATTTATTTTATGAGATTCTAGTAAGGAGATAGAGAAATAAAACAACAGGCTTATAGTGAGCAGAGAACGAGGCAATAGTGCGATGGAAAAGTCAAGAACGGGAACGAGTGGAATATAAAATTTGATATATAATGTCTCTGTGATTTATCTGCAGCCATAACTGGCATCTAACAATGAAATGTATGAGGACTGTATGGGAGGCACGCAACTTCCATTCTCTACAAGAAACGTGTCTTTCTCTCTCTTTCGCTATCACTGTCTTTCTCTCTTTCTCTACAATTCTCTTTATTTCCTTTTTCGTCCTCTCTCCTTCACCTTCTATCTCTTTTTTCTTTCCTTCCTTCCTTCATCCCCCCCTTCCTTCCTTTCTTCCTTCCTTCCCCCTTCCTTTCCTCCCTCCTTCCTTCCTCCCCCCTTCCTTTCCTCCCCCCCTTCCTCCCCCCTTCCTTTCCTCCCCCCTTCCTCCCTTCCTTCCTTTCCCTCCTTCCTTCCCCCTTCCTTCCCTCGCCCCTTCCTTCCTTTCCCCTTCCTTCCCTCGCCCCCTTCCTTCCTTCTTTTTCCCCTTCCTTCCTTCCCCCCTTCCTTCCCTCGCCCCTTCCTTAATTCCTTCCTTCTCCCCTTCCTTCCCCCCAATGGTCCTTCCTTCCTTCCTTCCTTCCTTCCTTCCCTCTTTCCTTCCTTCCTTCCCTCTTTCCTTCCTTCCCTTCCTTCCTTCCCCCCTTCCTTCCTTCCTTCCTTCCTTCCCTCTTTCCTTCCTTCCTTCCCTCTTTCCTTCCTTCCTTCCCTCTTTCCTTCCTTCCTTCCCTCTTTCCTTCCTTCCCTCCCTTCCTTCCTTCCCTCTTTCCTTCCTTCCTTCCCTCCTTCCTTCCCTTCCTTCCTTCCTTCCCCCCTTCCTTCCTTCCTTCCCCCCTTCCTTCCCCCCTTCCTTCCCTCCTTCCTTCCTTCCATCCTTCCCTCCTTCCTTCCTTCCCTCCTTCCTTCCTTCCCTCCTTCCTTCCTTCCTTCCTTCCTTCCTTCCTTCCTTCCTTCCCTCTTTCCTTCCTTCCTTCCTTCCTTCCTTCCTTCCTTCCTCCCTCCCCTCCCTCCCTCCCTCCCTTCCTTCCTTCCTTCCCTCCCTTCCTTCCTTCCCTCCCTTCCTTCCTTCCTTCCTTCCTTCCTTCCTTCCTTCCCTCCCTTCCTTCCTTCCTTCCTTCCTTCCTTCCTTTCCTTCCTTCCCTCCCTCCCTCCCTTCCTTCCCTCCTTCCTTCCTTCCCTCCTTCCCCCCTTCCTTCTCCCCTGTGGTCCTTCCTTCCCCCCAGTGGTGTATTTAGGTTTTGTGCTGCCCTATTCAACACAAAAATCATCTGCCCCCCACAGTGAGAGCCTGACACCAACCAACGCCACCCCCCACCCGAAAAAGCTTTCTACTACTGGTCCTTCCTTCTCCCCTTCCTTTCCTCCCCCCTTCCATCCTTTCTTCCTTCCCCCGTTCTTTCCTCCTTCCTTCTCCCCTTCCTTCCTTCCCCCCCTTCCTTCCCCCCAATGGTCCTTCCTTCCTTCCTTCCTTCCTTCCCTCTTTCCTTCCTTCCTTCCCTCTTTCTTTCCTTCCTTCCCTTCCTTCCTTCCTTCCCCCCTTCCTTCCTTCCTTCCTTCCCTCCTTCCTTCCTCCCTCCCTCCCTTCCTTCCTTCCTCCCTCCCTCCCTCCCTCCCTCCCTTCCTTCCTTCCCTCCCTTCCTTCCTTCCTTCCCTTCCTTCCCTCCCTTCCTTCCTTCCTTCCCTCCCTTCCTTCCTTCCTTCCCTCCCTTCCTTCCTTCCTTCCCTCCCTTCCTTCTCCCCTGTGGTCCTTCCTTCCCCCCAGTGGTGTATTTAGGTTTTGTGCTGCCCTATTCAACACAAAAATCATCTGCCCCCCACAGTGAGAGCCTGACACCAACCAACGCCACCCCCCACCCGAAAAAGCTTTCTACTACTGGTCCTTCCTTCTCCCCTTCCTTTCCTCCCCCCTTCCATCCTTTCTTCCTTCCCCCGTTCTTTCCTCCTTCCTTCTCCCCTTCCTTCCTTCCCCCCTTCCTTAATTTCTTCCTTCTCCCCTTCCTTCCCTCCTTCTTTGCTTCCTTCCCCCCTTCCTTCCCCCCAGTGGTCCTTCTCTCTCTCTCTCTCTTCCTTCCTTCCTTCCTTAACCTGACACCAACCAACACCACCACCCCTCCACCCCAGAAAGCTTTCTACTACCACCCACCCTCCATTCACCGGCCACACCCATCCCCCAGTGAGAGAGAGAAAGACACTCACCTTCACAGCTCCAGACATCCCCTGGAATGAGAGTCGGGCTCTGCATATACCATCAAGCAGCCTGCAGCTTCTCTCGGATCCCACCTGGTCCCCATGCCACATGTCCCCTTCTTCTCTCCCTTCTTCCGGGGAGCGGTGCTGCCCCCCTGAAAAATGCCACCCTAGGCAAATGCCTTGTTTGCCTTGTGGTAAATACACCCCTGTTTCCCCCCTTCCTTCCCTCCTTCCTTCCTTCTTCAGCCACATTCAATCCTAGGCAGGGGCGGACTGACAACTCATGGGGCCCCCGGTCAATAGGGGATTATGGGGCCCCTGTGTCCTTGCCCAAACTCAAAAAAGTCTATGAAAAAGGTACCAGGGGCATCTCATGGGGCCCCCTACTGACCCTGGGCCCTCGGGCAGTGCCCGAGTTTCCAAATGGTCAGTCCGCCCCTGATCCTAGGAGAAAATGCCCTGAGAACATTCAAAAGACAAAAAAAAAACAAAAAAGATTATTGCTGTAAATGCCTATAAATTGTTAGCTGGGTGTTCAGCTTCAACTTGTTAGTGTATCTAAATCTGCTAGTACATCTAACAGTCCCCTCCCTCCAGCCTGACAATGCTGCTTTCCAAAGGTGCCCCTTGTGCTCCTTCATCCAGATTGGGGGGCGCTCTAATACAGGAGATGTGCTTGCCAGATCACCCTGTTAAAGCAAAGAAAAAAAGTCTAACAAAAAAGAAAAAGCTAATGCAACCACCGCATCTAAGGATTAAAGCTACAATATATTACATTTTTGGGGTTTAATGCCCACCCCTTATCCCATTCCCCAACCCTGCTTACTAGTATCCTCAAGACATGTCCAGTCTCCTCTATGCCCCTTGAGTCTCAGTGTTCTCCAGCATCCTTGTGCCTCAAGTGTTCCTTGTACTTCCATGACACCTCCTGAGTCTAAGTGTTCTCTGTGTCACCTCAGCTGCCTATACACACCGGAGCCTCCTGTGCCCGTCCAGTACCTGTGCAGCTTGTCCACCAGGCTGGTGGTAGACTGTTTTATGCCCTAGGCAAGACCAGCTACTAGAACCCCTCCACCCAAAAAATAGCTGACTGGGGAGCTGGGAGGAAGCGATCTTCTACAGAAAAAAAATAAAAATGTGGAGTGGTTTAAATTATGCTAAATATTGGGTGTGGCTAAAAGGGGGTGTGTTTAAATAGAGTCTTAGGTGACTTACATAGT